CGCCTTTGAAAATAAATAGCGGAGAATTACGATATATCACGTCAATTTTTTGTAATTTTCGATGTGCGTGCATAGGGAATTCAAATGAAAAATATTGATTTTTTTAATTTTTTTCATTGCATGAATAGGTCCATTACATTTCATGAGTAGGGTGTCGAATTAATTTCACGTATGAATGACTCATATCAGCTTATTGAAGAAAAATTCGAAAAAGCGCGGCCCGCGTCTTGTCCGCATAGTTTAAAAAATTTCACGATAAAATTCCACTTGCAGAGACATTATGAAATTTTCGAGAGAAAAAAACACTAAATTTAGACGCGACTGCTGTACGCGGGTAGATTTACGAGCATGCGTCTTGAAAAGGTCTCGCCACGTGTGTGCTTATTTTGCTGTTTTCACGTGAACTGCTTCGGTTTTTCTTGATGAGTTTCGCATTTCTTTAAATTTCTAACGTCGTTCGACTTAAAAATTATCGAACCGTTCCATAAAATGCGAAATAACCTGTTAATCCGTGCGAGACCATTTCGAAAGACGCATCCCCCGTAAATCTATCCGCGTACAGAAGTCTCCGGAAGCCAACTATACCTTCGCACTGTGGAATAAAAAAAGCTTGAAATGCGACGAACTATTCAATGCGGTGGCCAATTTTATAAGTGACTCATAAAATGTTGGAGACACATCAAAAACGCGTCAACGTTTTTTGTTTTATTGCTGAAACAAACGACGAATTTATTTATGGAATATTCGCTTCCATTTTCCATCGAAACCATTTTTATTATTTCGCTTTTTGGTGAAAACGAACTGGCACAGATGGCGCACAAATTGGCGGTAATTGGACGCATATTGTTATAATTGCTTTGCTCCAGACAGGTGTTCCTAAAAATGGTCATTAAGAGCTTATTATTTAAAAGGTTATTATGCTCATGGTTGATCGTTTTGACGCTTTGTCCATAATTGCGAAAATACATACATTTATTATTATTTTTTTTATTAGTATATGTAATTATTAGTATATGCGAGTCCAATCATAACTTTCTGGGAAAATTGAACATATTTTCCAATTTAGGAAGAAAACACAAAATTCTGAAAAAAATGTGTAGCACTGAAAATGAGTTCTCTTTTGTATTAGCTCGAAACAAATCTATCCATTTAAGCTATAATTTTCTTGCTCTTATATTAGGGCTTCCATTCGGGCGACAAAAATGCTTTGCGATTTCTTAAGGACATCACCTGAAAAATCATAATGGTTTATAGAACTTTAAGTGACTTTCTAGGTGACAAAAATTCCAAATTGCAACCCACACATTTAAAATTTTCAATTTCATCAGTCTGCAACAATATTCTTCGCAACTTTTTTGATTTTATCTAAAAAAAAAGTTATTTTATATATGCCTTATCTGTTTTGCAAGAAATCGGCAAAATATTCTCATAAAATTCAAATAATAAATAAGAAATTTCGAAATAATGATGGTCGTGAAATATGGCCGAGGCCGAATAATTTGCGGCCGCGGTCGCAGGCACGAGCGGGGGGGGAATTATCGCCCGAATGGAAGCCTTTGTTTCTTTTTTTGTTTTTTCGAAATCAGCTTGATCGCCATCTACAATGCCGCCATCATGATGAGATGTTTTGAATTTCAACATGATAACAGTATCATTGATTGCAGACAAGCGGGTCTCTTGAAGAATAATCAGTTGAGAATTGAGATGCATTTTGCAGGCGTTGTTTCGACCGCGACGGCGCAGAGCCAAAGATGGCAGCCCTCAAAGCGACGCGTAGCCATCATAAAATCCGCCGCCAGACGCGCAGAACATTCAATACAAAAAACACTCGCGAATTTATAGCTGATGCGTGACGTCAACATCATCTGGAAGAGGTTTTTGATTATTCAAAAATTGTCTAATTTTTCGGAAATGACAATAAACATTCCTCGGTAACCTTGAATGTTTTCAATTTCGACGGGCTTCTTTTGATAATTCATCGCTGCCAAAATGTCTAAATTGTTTGATCGTTATCTGCCATGCCGCTAGCATATTGATAAGCTTGTTAGAGTAACATGATAATGGCTTAACAGATTGATGGTATACAATTTCAGAAGGAGTCATCAACAGGGGAGAACGACGGTCGAAGAAAAGCGTGAGACGTACGGCCATATAACACTACTGATGCCAAGAACACAAGACGAAAACAAAAACGTTGACCGGCGATTATGCGTTTTTAAATCGATCAGAGGAAATTGAGCCCTGAGGAAAAAAATTGAAAATTTGCGAATAAAAAATACGCACACAAATGGTACTTTTTAACTCAATGATTCGAACGAATCGAATAAAGCTTTGATTCATAAGGACGCGTTTAATCATAACTGAATTCAATATGAAATTTCGCTGAGAATTCAACGCACTACAATATACATTTAAGAAACATATTTTTGAAGACGGATAAATTGACAGTAATCTTCTGAAAATAAAATCGCTAAATAATAGATTTTTCGCAGCAAAACTTGTAGTTAAGACACTTTGCGGTTCATTTTTATATAAATAATTTCAAAAAATAAACGCGTGAATACGCGAACCGCAACGCGTCTGGCGACATAGAATAATTATGGTAGCCGCTTTTTTTCTTTTTTTCCGTCTTAGCGCGAAATTAACATTTTTGCATAAATACTACATATTTGTCTGTATTGTCGGTTTCAAATTTCGCAAAATCAGTGTAGATATTGCAAATTTACGCGCTGGTAAAATATTAAATGCGCGTTAACTCGGGGACCAGCGACTGCTGTACGCGGGTAGATTTACGAGCATGCGCCTTGAAAAGGTCTCGCCACGCGTGAATGCTTATTTTGCTGTTTTCACGTGAACTGCTTCGGTTTTTCTTGATGAGTATACATATAATTACCTTTAATACTTAATATCATTGAAATTAAACATGACCTCTAAAATGCAAAATAATCAGTTTGTCCACACGCAGACACGCACACTTCTTTTTGCCTCGAGACCAGCGAATATTGTCAATATTTTCTTTTATTCCAACCAGTCGTTTGAAACTGATAATATTTTTTGAATCGATGTCATACTAGAAAAAATTGAAGAAAATTGCGAGACCGTAGCAGTGAAATTTCACTCATAAGAGAATTGTTTAATTTTGCGACGTTTGCGCAGATTTTAAATAACTTTTAAACAAACCGAGTTTAAAAGCTGCGCGAAACCGGTTAAAAAATGAAAAAAAGGTGTAATTATTAGGTATTAAATTTTTTGTGCAAATTTTAAGCATCTGGTCGGTGTTCGGCGACTTCTATACGCGGATAGATTTACGTGGTAATTTAGAATTAATTCAGTTAATTTTTAATTCCAGTGATATTAAGAATTCAAGGAAATGATATACGGATAAAAAAATTAAACAGTTCACATGAAAATTTAAAAATAAGCGTCCGCGTGGCGAGACCAATTCGAAGGGCGCACACAAAAATCTTCCCGCGTACAGCAGTCGCAGGGCGCCTATTATTTTGTCGTCCAAACTCGAAAAATTCCAAAAAAAAATAATCGCGTTTGAATTGTGGCGAAAACAACGGTCGTTTGAGAAATATTTAGAGGAATAACAATATTGAAAAAAAGAATAGCAATATCGTTTTCTACGAACGAATTCCCACTAGTAAAATAATAATTTGCATAATTACATTTGCAAAAAACAAGCGCCATGCGCCGATTTACAGCAGTTTGATTCGCAGATTACCCAGAGTCGAATTCCCACTTTTTAAAATTCAAATTTGAATTACCGCCTCAAAAAAGTGCGAAGGTCCACAGTTGTGCAAGACGATCGATTTTGCGATGGTAATACTAGTTCGGAATAGCACAATGGCCCACCATTATTCAAAAAAAAAACAGAAATCAGAAATAAATGGTGGAACGCGAAAATTCGTTGAATTAAAAAAAATATGTATTTCTTCAATGAGCGGTACATCTAGTTTGTTGTATGTCTGTAATCCATGTTTGCAAAAATTTTTAACTCGATTTTTAGAAAATTGTTTAAAATCTGCGAGGTTTTCTCGAGTATTTCATCGACAAGATATGTGTTTTTTAGATTGTCATCTCTCCGCTTAAATAAAAAATAAAATATTTGCGTTGACAACATCTGGAGCAGTACTTACCTTTAAATAATGAACAAAAAAATTAAAAAATTAAATTTTTTTATGTGTGTCTGTAGAGATTTCAGAAAATACCGAAATTGTTTGTTCAAAGTTTTAGATTTGACCTGTATGGTTTTTTGAAACTTAATTTCTCGCACACTGTTTGAAGTTTTACAAGTGGTTGTGATCACAAGCTGCTGACATTGAACGATGCGGGACTAACAGTGGAATTTTTCAAACACACGAAAATTGTGCTGGTGCTTCGTCTGAAATCTCGATGGGTTTTTTTTTTGATGATTCGAAATCAGCATATCCTAAAAATTAGAGTCTCAAAGCGAACTGTGATGTAGACACATATCAATTCATGTACAGGAAATATACTCGTTCTCGACGCCTATCAACACCATCGAGAATCTCGAGATTCGGAACTTGTTATTCTCGAAATATGCGCCGTATCATTTTGGGCAAATAATAACACCATTCAGTGTTTGAAATGCGCCTAATTGGCAAGTTACTTATTCTCTGTATACAATATTTTTCCACTATTAAATGGTAGGAATTTCTAGTCGATTGTCAGAAATGCACAATTCAGTTTGCCAACGATTACCATAATTGGCGAGAATTCAACAACATTAAAGCCGATTGGTCAGATTTATTCGGCAAAAACTTGAGCAATGATATAAAACATTTTTAGACGTAATTGATGTTGAGTATTTCGACTATGATTTGAACACTAATGAGGAAACAACAACACCAATGACCAATTTCCAAGTATCAGCTATTCGACATTCAGTTCTCACTTGTTTTTTTTTCAGATTAATCAGCAAGATCCTCTTTCCAAGGTAAATCGATAATTTCATTTTCAAACTATTGTTTTCGATGCACGAATTCCAGGCTCGCGATGATGTTTCTCGACTTGTCAGCGATTTGCACAGTGACGAACTCAATCAGCGAACTACTGTTCCCATTGAGAATTCGACAGCGAATAACGATTTAATAAATATCCTTGAAAGTATGATATTGGATGATGGATTTGAAGGAAATAATTATACGAATGAGGAGGTCACGCAAATGGCTTTGGTTAGAACAACTTTAGTACAAGAGGCAGGTTTTGAATTGAAAAAAAATTGAATAATATTAGAATATTATCGACGTCGCGCGACTGCGGAAAATTGCTAAATGCCGAAAATTTTTAGAAGAGGTAGGTGGGCGGTGTGCGCCTTTAACCTATCCTTGTACCCGCAGTCGCGCGACATCGACATTAGAAGCATTAAAAATATATATATAAATAATTGTTAAAAAAAAAACAAATTAAAAATCAAAAATTACAAATAGATATTTAGGTGAATGAAGTTCCAGTGATAGTGGAGCCTGATCCATACGACCACCTTGATTATGATCTTTCGAATCATAGTAATGTTTGGAGTTTTCCGAAAGAGAAGCCAGACAACACGAAGGTTTCAAACGGGTGTTCCCATTATGCTTATTCCGCTATTTTCAGCTTCATGGTGGCGAAGTTCTTGGAATTCTGTTAAAAGCTAAAAAACCAAAGATTTTCGAAACGACAATCGTAGTTGATAAACCGAAAAAGAAGAAAACGAAGCCATCGAAATTTGGAAGAAAAAAGAAAGGATCTCGCAAACTGAAAATGTTGAATGATGTCTTCAAACCGAAATATCAAATTTATCGAAAAGTATCATCGATTTCGCTCGACTTCTGAAAATTGGCTAAATGCCAAAAAAGCTAATGGAAGTGGTCTTGACGCAGAACTAAAAGTGTAGATTTATGGGCCTAAGTATACGAATAGTTTAAAACCTGGGATTGAGACCTTTTTTAATTTTTGGCAATTAGCCAATTTTCCGATGTCGCACGATACCGATTATATTATTTCTTCGTATGTGTTTTTTTTTTCGAAAACCACTATTAAAGGTAATCGAGAGAAAGAGCAAAAGCAAGATTCGCAATTTTGTTGGCGGGACTTCGTTGGTTCAACGAGTCGCCAAAATGAACATTGATGATGGGTTGAAGAAGCGATTGATAAGAATGCTGGATTTGGATACTCAACATGGAAGCAGACGGAAAAGAAGTTCCGATTTTGTGTACACGGTTTGTTGGTTTAGCCCGCCCCAAACAGGTTTGGGTTGTGCGGCAATGGAATTGCCGATTGCCGAAATTGCCGAAATTGCCGATTTTTCAAATTGCCGAATTGCCGAAATTTCCGATTGCCGCACAGCCCTGGTTTGGAGCCCCCCACCACGAACAAATTTGTACCGGTTAAATTTGAGAAGGACAAAACTTAGTTGGAATGTGAAATCAGAGGAAAGTATTCAATTAGTATCAGTGGGAATCGGAGGCAATCTCAGAACATTCTTAGACGAGCCCCCTCCCCCCACAATATGCACTGACTTAAATCACCAGCTTTTGCGTTTTTTTTTTCACTTAGTCACTTACCCTCGGCCTGCGTAGGACAGTGTACTGATTAGCCTGAGCATGTTCCGCTGGGGTGACGAAATCCCCAGTTACGTAGAGGAGCATGAGTAGTTTATTTTCTTCGCCACGAAGAGGCTCAGTAACAGAAGAAGTGTGTGTATTACATAAACCAGTAAAATAAAAAAATTATTCAGACAAAAATACGTTTAAATAAGAGTATAAATTTTAGAAAAAATACTAGATAAATTCAGCGATTATATAGAAAAACGAAGATTGCGCAAATTTGAAATTGCAACATCTTCGCGTGGTAAAAAATAACTGAACCGTCCAGCCTCGGCCATAAAAGTTTGGCCATGACTGTTCGGTATTTCTGTTCTGCCGGAGTGGGGGGAGAGGGTTGGCTCAATTAAGTTTCAACTTTCAGATGAGATACATGAAAGACAGTAACGAGGAGTTGGTTGCATTTGAGACAAAACGAATTGAGAACGACATTGTCAGAACAATCGAGAGAATGGAGAATCAACCAAAACGGGTATTCCGGATTATACTGAACAAAAAAAATATGAATTCATAGAGAAATTGCAGCGAAATGAATATCAAGTAGAAGCTAGTCATATTTCGAACGAATCGAATGATTTTACAACAAAATCACACAAGAAAACCAATGATTATAAACCATTGAAGAGGCGGGTGAACTCTGGATTATCGATCGTATTGCTGCCTGACGAAAAAGTGCATCGATTGTATTCAGAAGGAATTAAGAAAATTGTGAAAAAAGAGAGAAATGAGCTGCCAATGGCGAAACGGTTAAGGTAGAGCTTTTCATGAACCCAATTCTAAAATGCGAATTTCAGATATCCGATTGAGAACTCTGCGATTCAATCTGCACACTAGTCATCCCTTATATAATTTTGTTTCTGTTCTTCTTCTTTTTCTTCAATTGTCATTGTGCATTTATTGTAGAGAGTTCGTATGTTTCGGGTGTCGTTGCTGCTTGTTTGTTTACCTATTTTGGCGCACGTTGGGTACGTTCGCCAATCCGCCCCCCGTCAGCCACCAACGACACCCATCGTCGCCGCGAAAGCCCACCAACATAACCTCCAGCTGATGAATGCTCCCAGCGAAATGTGCACACCAAATATTTGCGTTTGACCCGCGGGCACACCGGTCGATCGGACGGCTGGCTACCTCTTCAACAGCGGCCGAGTCGTCGCCGCGCGTTCTCCCCTGACGTTATTATTATTATTATTATTATTATTATTATTTTGCATATTTGTACAATAGTCCAAATTCTTCTTTTTTTTTTATTTCAATATTGTTATTCCTCTAAATATTTCCCAAAAATACATGACCTCTTCCAAAATGTTATTTTTTTTCGAATTCGCTTTGCTATTTCAGATCTTTTTTTCTGGCAAATTTTCCATTTTTTTTTCCTTTTTGAATGACTCATTTCGATTCTTCAAAAAGGACTCTGGTCATTCGTGATTCCGGTGAATACTGAACTCATATTGTCTTCTGCAAACAACAACAAAACAAATACGAACTGACCATTTTTTTCTGGACTGCTACGCACAGAAATTTACCATCACAAAAAATTCCGTCACTTTGAATAATTGCGGACCATCGTATTTTTTTTGGGCGGTAATTCAAATTTCGAATTGAATGGTGGGAATTTCGATGCCTTGCCATCCATGTCTTGCGAATCAGCACAGGATGCTCGTTTTTTTCTTTTATTTCACCATCTAGAATCCTGAACCAAGGAGTTTTTTTAGAATATCATACAATTTCTTTAAGCTGGATTCTGAAAGTCTGAAAGCCAAACAATCACTCGCCAGCCAACCTAAAATTTCCAAATTTTTCGAAATTCCACACATTTCTCTATCAGTTTCAATGCGGCTTATTATTATTGCACATGCCGTCGAAAATTTGTTGAAATTATATTATATCATATTTATATTTGTTCTGCGTTCGTAATTCCGAAAACATGGCGTCTGATTATGCGCAGATGATTGTTTGCCGACATTTCTTAACGTGTTCGCCGCCGACCATCCGACCATCCGACCCAACTCCGATCTCATTATTGCTCAAGTTTTCCGTGTCGCTTCATCAAATAAACACATTGTTGTTGTTGTTTTTTTTTTCATTTGATTTGCTTTCAGATCAAGTTGGCTATTGAATGGCTCGACCAGGCCAAATCGTCACACAGTTTCCGGCACTCGATCATGAGCCAAGAGGACAAGGTACGTTGCGCGTTTTGAAAAGGAGTGGATTATCATATTAATTCATATAAATCATTTTTGCTGCGGACGTTTCACGGTGTCGTTTTTCGTGTATTTTCTATGTGAATCAGTGTTAGTTTCAACTAAAAAAAACTTGCAAAAAATTACACTTGCAACAAGCGTTTGATTCGTGAGTTTGATTCGCAGGTTATCCAGAGTACGGTACCCGAATTCTCACTGTTTAAATTCAAATTTAAATTAGCGCCTCGAACAATTGCGATGGTCCACAGTTATGCAAGGCGGGCGTTTTTTTAATGGTAATAATTCCTCAAAAATCCCACATAATTATCATCAAATTCCAACATGATGTTGAAGTTTTGATGATTTCGTTTTAATATTTACCTCGTATTGTTGTTAGCCCTGAAGTTCGTCTACGAGACGTTCTCATTGATGCTCAGAGAGCCCACGAAACTCGGATACGCCGACAGAAATAAGCCTTGCGCGAAAGCGGCTACTGTACGCAAATCGCGACGACGAGCAACACAATCTCTCTCTCTCTCCATCCTCGTATATGCAAATTTTGCAATGAAGTGGCACGAACTGTTGTGTACAGTTCGCATAATTTAATGAACATCGCAGATTTTGAATTCCGCGAATATTTTATTGGGCTTAGCGAAACACCTTCATCGTAATTTGAATGCTTGCGAAAATTATTACTTAGACTAGCTTCGGACAAATTTCAGCAGACTAATCTCCTCTTTAAGTTTTTTTAATGCTCTCTAAGCCAATCTCACTTCTCTATTAGGTATGCGATCGCAAACACACCTGTCATTATTGTGCACAACAAGACTATCGGTTTTCGTTTCAGGACCACCACCGTCATATCGAAATTCGGCCGCCACTGAAGACACGTGGAGCACCGTTTCCGGCTCTGGTATAAATATCCGTCTGAATTGGACAATTGGAGAAAAAAATGAGGAATTGCAGAAGCCATGGGCAAACGACGTAGCAGCTGGAACAATCTGGTGCAAGTCGGTGGCGATCCTATGGTTAATAAGCAGCCGGTAAGCGTCTCATCGATTCGTCGAATTGGAATTTGAATGTTGATAGCCTCCACGACCGCAAGCTCCGCAGACGACGACAACGTTCTCGGTAGGCTCAAGAGCTTCATCGGAGATGGGCATTCCCACGGTGTTCAGCACACAATTCACGGTGAGTTCCTATTTTCAAATATGCCGGTTTTGTTTTCAAGTGGTTCGAATTATTTGATCTACATCATCATACCATAAAAGTGTAGAACATAAATAAAATAAAACGCGCAGGGTGGCCGCAAAGACAAAGTGCGCCCGCTTAATCCGGAACCAACGAGATTGGCAGAACAGGTGAGCCAAAAACAGCATCGGGATGAGGTGAAGGGTAGGGATATTGGTAGGGATTCTACGATTGGTATGAAGATGTTGGTTTGAGAGATGAAGCAGAGCTAATTGGAAATTGTAGGAGGTAGCGAGAGCCCATTTTCACACTGTACGCTACATAGATGATAGTAATAGGAGTATTTCAAGCAAGGAAGCCGTTGAGGTTAGGCTACACTAACTATCACATTCCGAACACAGAAGGCACTTTGCTTTTCGCTAATTCAGAAGCTCTGAAAGCATGACATTTCTGGGAACCACGAATCCTATATAAAAATATTCTGCGGACATTAATTTGCACATGATTACAATGAAGTTTAGGCTCATGGTCAAGCAATGCCAATGCAGAAGGTTTACTCAAACGAGCCGCAACTTGTGTCGGTTCCTCGTCCGGCCGGCACAATTCCGTCGCACAGTGTTGCCGGATCGAGAGCTCCGTCGGTGATCACAGGTGGATCGAATCCATCTCCACCTTTGTCACACTCGAAGAGCGATAAACCCAAACGGAATCGATTGCAGGATTGCAAGAGATTGTATGATTTTCTGGAAATTTCAACGAAATTCATTACTATCAAATGTTCAGCTTCTCTGGCAAAAAGACGATTTGCTGCATTTGCCTATTTCTTGTGCTCATCATTGCCGCTATAATTGCCATCGTCCTCTCACAAGTACTCCCAAATCCAACGGTAAAAATCGATTTTATTCATTATCCTTTTTTGGATTCGCAAATTTTTTTTAGAAAGCAACATTCAATTGGATTGCTCCTCAAATGTTCACAAATGGTCAAAACGCCTCATCTCTTATTGAAATGGAAGCGAAAGATCAGAGAGTGAGATGAAGCTTCAGATTTTCTGAATTCTCATTTTTTTTTCCAGATTCGTTTCCATATGACTGGAGCTGCTCCGATGAAAGGCAATTTTATTAGTTACTACGATTTTAATAATGTAACAAATTGAAGTCAATTGCATTTTTTATTGTGAATTTATAGAACCAAGTGGTTACAATCGATCAATCATTGCAAGTGAGCGGCAAGAATCTGTATTGTTTCATTTCACCGATGGATCGATCCACGATGCCGAATCAGAAGCAAGTTCGAAGAGCTGCGAAGAACTCGATTACTGTAAGTCGAGAATAATCTGATCATCATCGAATTCTTGCTATTTTAAGCGATTTGTTAAACACATTTCAACTTGTTTTCAATGTCTCATTCAAAAATTTCAGCGAAACCAGCAAACCGAAGGATGGCAGGAGAATTGGACGTGGCTTCCATCGCCGGTGCAGCTCGCCAGCGGAGCAACGGTTCGGGTCCCTCTCAACGCTATCAAATTCAATAGATGTTTCAGAATATGTTCAATCCTCCGATTCCCGAATGCAATGGATCTAGAATTGTTCAACTCCAACAGACATCTGATCAGAAGAGTACGACAACGCGTTTCATTGATAATTGGTTTTGCGAATTTCAGACCGCCCATGCAGTGATTGTTACGATTTCTGCCTTCCCGACTATGGAATCATGCGCGATTCGGCAAAAAATAATGAAGAATACTTGAATGTCGTGCGACGTAATTGCTTCTACCTGTTCGTTCCCGAATGGCGAACGTATGCGCAAGCGAAATCCATCGAGCAGGTACTCGACGATTCTTGACAATCGGCGTTCATCCGAAGAAATGTTCAGAATCAGCAAGACTTTGAAAATTATTATCGTAATCGGCAGCACATGCAAGTCTCATACAATGGAAACAATCAAAATGCGGGAAGATGGATTAGCCTGAGTGGAGTTCCGAGTAAGCCATCAATTCGATTCAAATTCGGACACATTGAATTTTGAAAAAGAAAAACGCCAATTAGCTAGACATAAACGAATTTAGAAGCAATGATGAACGCCACTGGAAATTTGATAGGTCAACTCGGCAATTCTGTAGATCAATTCCGCCACAATATGTACGGCGCGATCGCCGGACAACAGCAGCAACCGCAGCAGCCTCAACAACAGCAATTCGGATATGGCCAGCAGCCGGGATACCAGCAGAATGCCAACCAGATGCCACAGCAGCAACAGCAAGGATATCAAAACGGGTTCAATAAGTAAGGAGCTTCTAGAATCGAATACTGATCAACGTTTGATTTGAAGTGGGCAGCCTCAACAGCAGCCAACTCAGGGATACCATCCAGCGGTTAATGGGGTTGTCAATCTTAACGGAGTTAATGGGAATAATGGAAATACCGTGTACAATGCGAATATTCCACAACAACACCAAAATCAGTTCCAGCCTGACGTTAATAGTCAACAGAATCAGAATCCTTCGGCGATTTCACCAGACCCCAGAAGAAATGCGGTGAGCAATCGAATTTCTCTTGCGATCTTACACCTCATCAATTTTTTTTAGCCTTATTCATCATATCCGAGTGGTGTCAATAGTGGATATTCATCCGATCCGTAAGATCATTTAAAACTTCTCTATGTTGTATAGAATCAAGGTTTAGACGACAAGTCTCTTCGGGAAACACAGGCCATCAAGGAGCGATGAATGGGTTCGGAGCGCTTCCGAGCTATCAGACTTCTCGATACGGATTCACAAGGTTCGAATTACTCCAGTTGAAAATTTTATCATTTATTTTTAAGCCAAGTCTCAACTGATCCAAGAAACTCGCAAAACAACAATCATAATCCGAACCAAAACCAGCAAAAAGTCATTGGAACGTATGTCGAATCGATTCGTCGATTTCCATTAGATTTGCATATTCAGCGTGCTCAATGAATTCGGAAATCCAGTGAATATCAACGCGGCAACTCCAATCCCATACGCAAGTATTCAAACAAGCCAGGGTTTGGCGCCAACTCCGCCAAGAACTGTGCCATTTGGAGCCCAACATGCCGGAGGCTATCAGCCAAATGTCATGGTAAGATCGCTGATCAGAGATGTTTAGCAAATTCAATTCCAGCAAAATCAAAACGGGGGCTACCGAGTTGATGCCGAGCCGATCAATTATAATGTTCCTACCTACCAACAGCCACTGCGGCCTGACACTGTCGGAAGACCCGGCCGTATATTCAAGTAATTCTTGTGTGCTCCTTCACATGTGCTCTTTTTGACGCTCAATTCCAGCCATCTCCCATTTAGTGATTTCGTTTTAGTTCTTTTTTTTTCTTTTTCATTCATCTTTCAGAAGAGTTCTTCATGAATGATTCTCTTCGTTCAATGGTGCTTTCCATCATTATTTGCTGAATTCCACTAGTCTGTTTAAATCATCAAACTTATTCAACCATATATGTACATATACGCAATAGTCTCCATTTCTGTGGCAACTACTTCACTTTGATCGGCATGATTTGCTGTCAGGCTTTGATTTGTAATATCTGTGATATGAAAATGACCAATGAATTATTTATTGATGTTGTCAGTTGAGGATTTCCCATCTTCTCACATGTTGTACTTCTCTTCGTCCCATTCGAATTCCGCGTTCGTATCGACAAATTTAACGCAAGACTGAAAGTGAGAGGAAGGTAGGATTGAAATTTGACGAGAATATTTTTTTGAAAAGTACTGCAAGAATGTCCTTGAATTTGAGATAGTTCGGCGTCGAATCCTGACGAAGACGTCGAAGATTCCGATCAAAACTTGCGAATCGTGTGGGCATTGAGCTGAAATTCGTCGACAGACTCGATGTTTTGGCAAAACAGAAGTGTCTCACGGATAAATCTCTGAATGTTTCGCAATTTTCTTGGCTTGTGCCATTTCATCAGCCGCTTCTAAGCTTCTCCACGGCAGATAGCCTTCAATAAGCTCTGCTAGTGTATAGTAAAGGCACCAAAGATCATCAACGGGTCCCTGCTCTCTTCGATCATGCATTCGATAAGAGCAATAGCGGGTTGTGCCGCGAAAGCCGCAATATCGTCGAGATTCTCGATGACTTCCATCTTCGTTCCGGAATCTGCGCGACATTCCAAAATCGACCAAGTAGATCCGTTTGCGATCCGGTCCAAGACCGACACAGCAATTCGTTGGCTTCAAGTCTCGATGCAGAAACCCTTGAGAATGGAGCAATTCAAGACCATCGATGACTTGAATTCCGATTCGAATCGCCTACACAATCAATGGATTAAAAATAAGTGCAATTCGAGATGTCAACCGAGTGCTTAGAGATTTTACGCGATGCCAGTGATTTTCGAATATCGCCAAGATTCATTCCAAGCATTTCCATGACGATATAATTAAAATTTTTCAATGACCCAGAGTAGTACTAAAATTGGGTAATTAAAGTGGTAATTAAGAGAAAATAAAATGCTAACAATCCTTGGGAAATGTCTTTTTCCTAGCATGCTTTCTAGAACCATTGATTCCATGATCATTCGTTGAGAGTCGTTTCCATGCGCTTTTTCTACTTTGACTGCCACTTCTTCATTAGTGTCCAAATTGAATGCTCGATAGATTTGTCCGAATCCACCGCCAGCAATCATTTGATCTATTTGAAATGTTCGATATTTGCCGAGAAGCGCGCCGCATTCAACGTACGGTGGAGCGCTTTTGCCGCGAAGCTGAAACATATACTGGTTCAATGATTATACATATTACCTCCTGATTAACCTGATGATTATGATTTTCGTGTTGATTCTGATTCAATACACCCTGATTTCTAATGTTTGGTCGATTACGCTGAAGGAAGAACTGACGAGGTTTTCGGAATTCGCCGTCATCGACTCACGTTCAACATTTTTATTAGATTAGTGGGTACGAAGGAAATTATGAAATGATTCGAGGGACGAGTAGAAAATGAGTAATGATAACCATCAATCAAATTTTCAAATAACGAGTGACGCGAGTTGAAGAAAATACTTTTTTTTTGAAGATGCAATTTTCGATTTTAGGAAACTTCGTTAAATACAGTATATCGCACAAGCTCGGTGAGATACCGCGATGTAAATATCACAAAAAAAAAACCAAAAACATGAATCTCATTCAAAATTTTTTTGAGTTTGAGTTTTTTTTACCTTCAATTATTTTTATTATATCGCAAATGAGCATATAATAATTGGCCGAATAAGCCGTTCTAAGGACACATCGAGTTTGGTGAGTTTCTGAATTCTTTTCGATTTTTTTCTTTTGAAAATCAAACTACAAGTAGTCAAATTATTTTTTAAATCATTTTGAAGTTATAGGTTATCTGTGCCAATTTAAGGTGAGTTTGATTCGCAGGTTATCTAGAGTACGGTAGCCCGAAATCCCACTTTATAGTTGAATTATCGTATCAAAAAAGTGCTGTTGACTGCTTTCTGTTCCAACATTTTCAACAAATGCAAATCATCTATACATTTATAAAATCAAACGGAGTAATACGATTTTTTTCATAATTATAAAATTAATTCACCAAAAACCGAAAAAAAAGATTAAGGTACTTTATCGAACACATTATACAACTGTTTTATCAACCACATTATAGACTTTGGTCTTACACAGAAACATTCTTTGCGCATCGCACCTATAAAATATAATTCATATATAAATCAACTTGTTTGTGAAAACCCAATATCTATAAATCCAGTTACAGACATCAAAAGACACTCTCCGCATTGCGAATTGCACGGATAATCACTCGCCCAAGCTCCAGCGGTAAACTGATTCGTAGTTCCCTCTGTTGTAAATAGCTGAAACTTCCAAAATTCCTCGCTTTTCAATCAAGGGTCATACTTTATTTTTTCCGCAAGTTCCGTCAGGAGAAGCGGTATTATAAGATGAGGGATATGAGGTATCACAGGTTTTCAGCCGTTTCATTTTTATGTAGGATGTAGTCGATTGAAGTGGAACTATCCAATCTGAAAAGGAATATCTAAATAAATCAGCAATTATTCTCCAGCAAAGGGACCTTTGAAATTGTCGTACATCGTTTGAGAAGTGATTGCCAACAGCTCGCCGCCCTTCCCAGAACAAACGGCTTTCGCATCAACGTATGATTCCTCGGAATACGACGGCTAAATTCAGGAAATTTAGATATGTCATTTCAATTGAACAGCCCGATTTGTTCTCGACAATTAAGATTTGTTAGCTCAAGAGATGCATATCACGTCATTTGTTCGCAACATTTTCATTCATCTCTTTAGCAACGTTCAATGACGTTTTATGAAAACGAACACGAGCGAAATAAAAAAAAGGTCCCCTACCCCCCCCCCTATAAAAATTTTATGACGTACTTGCAGCGAGATACGGTAAACGGAAATAAAATATTTTAAGATGCTCAATTTTCAATCCTGACGTCGGCAAATAATGCAAATAATAATTCATATGAACATTTACGAGAAAATGTTCAGAATTGGCGTATTGCGAAAAAACGAAACACAACGACTAAATATGTGTTTAATGAAGGCGAAAATTGAGATTTTTGGAAAAATTTCGGTATTTTCGAGATTTTTTTAGAAGAAATCATTTTTTGCTCAAGAATTTTGTAGTTTTTGCGTCGTCTCCCCACGCTCAGCGCTGAAATTTTTGGAGTTTTTTTTTAAACCCCAATGAATTGGTCCATAATTTTATATATTACCGAAACGCAATAGAAGGTGTTTCCATCAGTCACTGCGCTTTCATCATCGTAGCAAGCTGAAATTTTGTTTTAAATCTCGAAAAAATGTTAGGCAACCATACGATTATATGTGATTTTGAGTCCAGCAGTCACTGTATAGAACATTGATTTGAATTTTTCCGTAGCAGTACTACGCACATTTTTAATGTAACCCTAATTATATGTTAAATAAGACATCTTTATAGCGAGAAAAAAACTACATAAGCATTCGGTTTTCCGAATAGCGGCGGGTCCGTGCTTGCTGGACATTCGGCACCATTAATTTCCAACTGAATATCTCAATTTTTATGATTTCCAAAAAAAAAACACAACCTTCAATGCAACTTTTTTTGTGTTGAACGCAGTTTTTGTGATATATGTGAGATTATAATATTCAAATATAAGGCACTCAGTTTCTGTGGTCCCTTCGGCGCAGGCCTGAAATTCAGCGACGTGAAAAGAAAAATGAAAAATTGTCTCGAGATTTATACCACACAGTTATTAGTGTTCAAACAATCATTGACACACGTGTCCCAATCGGCAGTTTTCTTAATCGGGTAGTTGGGTGATTTCAGTGTTCCCCAGAATACCACCATGCTCAAGCAGAACACCTAAATCATTCGATTCATTTCAATTGTGCCTCGATTTCAATTTACCTTTTCGACGAGACACACGAAATATAAGAAGCGCCTCATGCCAGTGAGCAATAAATCGCAAAATGCCCTTGTTCAGCCGATTCTCGTGCTTAGCAACTACAAACGTATGTTGTCTACTAGAGGAAAGAGGAAACGTTTAATTTCGTTCGAGGACAAACATCTCGCGGAAATTGTGCAAATTCTGCTTCAACTCTACTGAGGCCATTAAAGAAACTATAGATTAGAAAATATTTTTGTAGAAATCCCGAGTTTGTTGCGAAAAGCCAACTGAATAGGCTTTAAAATGAGTCAGATGTTTTTTTTTTTTGAGGTTTTAGAAAAAACGTCAGAAAATAAATAATACAACTATGAATTAGAGGCTCTAATCGCAATGAATGATTTATATGCATACCTTTATATGTAGCTAGCTGCTGTGAAGCCGAGGGCCGGACAGAGTCGAAGCCGAAAAGGAAGGTTGACAAAGTAATATTATCGTTAAATAGTTTGAATATGAAATTTCTTAATATTTGATCAAACATGGTAATTTTGGCTTACTCTACTGAATATGAGAAAAATGCTTTGGCTTGGCCACATTTTATTTCACATCAATACATAAATCAATCTCTTTTTAAAATGCTTTTCAAATATATTTTGAAACATTTTTCATTTCATTGTTTTCCACGAGAATTTCAACTTTTTGTTGAGGTGGCCGGGGTAGAAATTCGAGCAGTCAGTCGGAAGTCGCACTTGACTTCCATCTTCTTCTTTCTGATTGTTCTTTAATCAAAAATGTCGTCGTGGCTCCTCCAGTCTCGAAGATGTGTGAGATGATTTCGCTTCTCTTTTTTTTTCTCAGCTTCGTCAAACCGACCTGTGTCAATATTGTTACCGGTTTTTTTTCGTCGATCTGCTCTTGCCCATTGCTTCCGAAGCATGCTTCTTTGTTTTTCAGCATCTACTCTGGCCCTTTTCATCCTTTCATTCCTTCAAGCCCAGTACCTGAAATTGTTCCTTCGTGCTGTCACAGGATGGAGCCACAATGGTTCGTAGCACAATGTCCCACTTCCACTATATATTTTGAAATTTCGGAGTCATTTATCTCGTTAAGTTGCAAAAAACGGGACCTTGAGGCATCTAGCAAATGCCGTTTTTTTTTCAGAAACAGGCTATAGAAAAAAATTCAAAAATCCTGAAAATGATACATTGAAATTTTGAGTTGATTTCTTCTATTCTCATCCCCAAATTTTTCAGCAACGAGAAACGCTCATTCTCCTCGGTAGTCTTATTCGGCACGTTCTCAGTCGCTGCTGTCTCGCCCGTATGTCAGTGTGGTAGAGCTGCTCGCGAGCAGGCACGCCTTAATATCTCGATAGTTCGACCCCACCACGCACTCCTGCATTTCTGTTCGCCGTTTCAATTCGGCGAATGGCCTGAGTGATGTGCAATATCATACTGCTCATGGCGTTGCGGGCAAATCTCATAGCGAGTTGTTCGTGTTAACTTGGGTGGTACATTATTTATTTATTTAAATTTTTGATTTTGATTTTCCGGTTCTTCCGCGAATCACATTTTCGGCCTCCTCCCACATTTTGTGGTCCCAATCGTGCAAGAAACTGCCCATGCTCGATCCATGGTTCATGTGCTGTTGGCCTCCATCAAAATCGACAATCTGAAATAATTTTCTCTGGTATGAATGTGTGGTTGAGAACGAACAGCTCCATTCATCCATGACATAAAATCCGAAGACATGAAGGCAACAAGATTCGCGAGCTCTTCTGGTGATCCTGCTCTTCCACAAGGAACAGATTGTTTTGTCAGCTCAACAGCATCTCCAACACCAGCAACAGACAATCTTCCAAAAGCGCCTTCAGTCGGAATCGGTCCTGGCGCGACTGCGTTGAATCTAAGTCCGTATTTAGCCCATTCTGAAGCCAATGACTTGGTCATCACTTCAACACCGCTCTTGGAAACAGCCGAAGGGACAACAAATGGGGCGCCATGTCTAAAAATAAGAAGTGTCTAAATGAAAATTTAGTCTCAAAAAATTATATATGTGAATAACCTCGCGTATGGAGTGGAAATACTCAACACAGAAGCACCCTTTCCTTCCTTGATGCATCTGCGTCCTAATTCCGTAGTCACATTTAATGTACCCTTCAAAACGATGTCAATGATGGTGCCATAAGCGTTTGGAGACAATCGCTCGGTAGCCATTATGAAATTTCCAGCAGCATTATTTATAAGAATATCTGGGGTTGAGTTGAATCTGAACAACAACGCCTAGATTTCAGAGAAACAAATTTAAAAATTTACTTTGCTGTGACGTCATCGAACGCTTTTGCAACCTTTGCTGGATCCTTGACATCAAGTTGGAATGGCTCACAAATTCCACCGGTGAGGTTACGAATCTCTGCGGCAGATTTCTCCAGAACATCTATACGCCTGAAAATGGCAAATTCAAATCGATGTATAGAAAATATAGTCTTTTTTTGTAAAATTACGCAGTCTATTGATTTCGAATACACATTTTCTTACATAACTAATATTACTTTTTTATGATATATGGTTTGCTCACCGAGCTGCAATGGCAACTTTCGCTCCGAGATGAGCAAAAGTTGTTGCAATGGCTTTTCCCAATCCAGTTCCTCCTCCGGTGACAAGCGCAACCTTATCCTAAAAAAAAGATTCCTATCAATTTTAATATAACTCCTAGTTTTACTTTCAGAGCTCCCGGTTGAAGTGCTACATTCTTTAAAACTGGAAAGAACTTTTCTGGTTTTGCACAGTGAGCCATTCTAAAAATGTGAAATTAGGTGGGCGTTGGAATAAGGAAATGAAAAAATTTGAATCGGAGAGCACGTGTTTATTGTTCTAATGAACAAACTAAATGAATGAATATCATGTTCAGGGACGATATTCTTCGATTTTAATAGTGAGACGCAGTGATAAATGCAAAAAGGATACAATGTAGTGTAAGTGATAAGAACGAGAACAACACGATTTACAATCAATCTATTTATTTCATTCAATGAAACGAAATGGTTCCCAAAAAGTGGCAATGCAACATTGTTTGATCAAAATTTTAATTGTTTTGACATATGCTATTTAGAAAATAAAAATTTAAACCTTTGTGTAATGATTTCCTACGGAAAACGCGTTTACCCGTTCTGTATGTTCGGGCAACGTTCAAATTTTTTGAAGAGCGTGGTCATCTGAAAAAAAAAAAACAAATTTAAAAAAATGCCGAAATTAAAAATTAATGCAAATTGACGTGTCCAACTTGAAAAAGAAATAACAGTCTTCTTCAAAGCGAGACCACGTACATCGATGTACCTGCTCCTTTAAATGTGTTACGGTAGAAAAATAGTTTTACATTGCTAGCAGAATTTCAATTATTCACCTGCTCTACACGCCAATTTTTCTAATAAACAAATAATTATAAATAAACCAATATTAGTTTCAAATATTTTTTTTGGAAAACTGTGAAAAATCATCAGATTTGTATCGTTTTCGTTGCCGAAAATAATGACAAAATTGAATGGAATCGCCTCATTAAATATTTAATATAATTCAATTAAATTTGTTTGTTTGCAATCTTAAACACTTTATTATAATAAATATTAATCAAATCTCGTCATTTGATTGATGAAATGTCGATAAATTGCGAACAATTGAAAAACCAACGACAGAAGAGTTATGAGATCACAGTCAAGCGATTAATTGTTAATAGATTAATATGGTTTGATAAATAAACGAGCGATAGGGTTTTTTTAATGGGAAATGTGGGGATCCAGCCAAATTATGTACAAAAAACAATTAATAATGCGAATATTTGCGAGCGCTGTTCGGGGTTGAGCGTGGATCCATGTTGAGTGAATCCTTGCGGTTTGGGCACATAGCGACACGCCTAAAATAATTTAATCAATCTTTTAATTTTCTTTGAAATTATCCTACTTCTCAATGTTCTCGAAATATTGAACATGAGCGTTGAATGAATGTTTTCTTCTGAATTGTCGGACTTGTGCCTCGAATCCATCACGGATCAGATCGATGAACGAGCAGATGAGAAGGCGCCAGGCACGGCTTGTCTCTTTGCTCTGCTTGACACCATCCTGCTTTAAAATCACCTCAACCATGATTTCTTGGAATCTAAACATTAAATATTTTACTATTGCCAATATTTTCCATTAATTACCTGTCCCATTCTTGACTGCTGAATCCGGCCTCGTGTTTTAGATTAATATGGTTTGCTCCGATCTCCCTCAAGAAGTCGGCATGCTGATATTGAAAGGATCAATGCTAGCAAAAAAAGTTTTCTTGTTACCACTTCGCCTTCAACGATTTTGTCAAGAAGCTGCAGAAGATATTTGGAGTGGTCAGCGACGGTGCGCACTTGATTCGGGCTTGTTGACAGCGAATAGGCAGCGGATTGGAAGCATTGGTTGGCAACAGAGCAGGAGGATTCAAGCTTAAACGAATTGTCGTTAGAAGGAGAAGCTTAATGAGGTTTTCTCTTACTCTTGAGAAGCAGCGAGTGAGGACCACAATGAGACCTTTGGTGTTAATATGACGCCATGATCTGCGGATGACGGCCACCTGAGATGGTGTGAGAGTTGAGCACACCGGAATCACATTCCTCGACGACAACGAAATGCTACCGGAGCGGTCTCTCGCGGACATTGGCTCTGCAAATACATTGAATGAATGAAATGGGAAGATTTTGAGGGATGTTGCCAACAATTTGCACTTTCGAGAATGCCGATTTCGGCGTTTTTCTGATGATATCGAATACAGCGATTGATGGGATTCGGGCACAAATTGCAAAAAAAAAAGCAAAACAAAATGAGGACGGCAGATTTCGAATTTCGAATGAGCTTTTGTTTTGTTGGACGAAAAAAAAATCATAAAACCGAGAACCAATTGTGGAAAAAGAGAAGTCACGGGGATAAATATGCAACAGAGCTCTGCGAATTTATTTTGCATGCCTCAACGATCCTCAAAGTTTCAAAATATCAAAGTACGGTTTTTGAGGTTTCAACTCATTGAAAATGTTCTGAAATTTGAGGTAGTCACGTGAGGAAAGGCGATTTTGTTTGGCTAAAAAAAATCAAATTCCATATAATCGAATTTCACTGAGTCTTCGAATTAAGTTAATCAAGTTTACGCAAGGCTAAATGTCGAAGAATTACTTGGTAACCAGGTACGAAAAAAAAAAAACAGAAAGTGCCTGCGCCTTTAAATCAGGTCTTGAAGCAATAAAAAAATTCAAGAATTTATTTTGCGGGATTCTCTATATTTTTGGAAGACAGAAGGAAGGTGGACTAAAATGTTAACACTTACAGTATACATCAAAGGCGCATGCAAAAATTAGTTCATTTTTTCGCGCTAAGAATTTAATAATTATTATCAGAGTTGCGCGACTACTAAAAATTGGCGAAATGCCAAAAAAAAAACAGTGTAGATTTACGAATAGGTTAAAGGCGCACACCGCGCGCCGAGACCTCTTTTAAATTCGTTTGGCGTTTAGCCAATTTTTCGCAGTCGCGCGATGTCGGCAATATTAATTATTCAAATATCCGACAGTCTCGAAAGTGTCGTCGGCAATATGTATATTTTTTCGGAAAGAAAAAAAATCGGCATGGATGTGGAATTTTCGGTAGGAAAAATGCTCCCGAAATATCGGTAATTGTATGTTTCCATAAAAGGTGTCGTTCTGAGGAAAAAAATAAGAAAAATTGACGACATTTCAAATCGGCACATAATATTTTTGGGCAGCGGTTTCATCGAAATTCGCATTCTCTTCTGCACCAATAGGTGCTGATTGGAGCACGTCATGAAAATCTCAAAAATCGTGTGCAAAAAAAAAGAAGGGTTGCCATGGATTGTTGACAAACGATTTTGTATTGGCACGAAAAAAGCAACAAGTGAAAAACGAGTCGAAAAGTTTGTTGAAATGAATAATGCAAAAATTGCCGTCTTCCTTATATAGAGTATGGAATCAAAATACTCGCGGAAATGGGAAGAATCGAATTGTATTTGCATAGACAGAAGCCGGAACAAATTGCGACGATGAAATCGAGATGGAAATCAAAGTGACGAAAAAAAAAACAAACTGCAAAATTAAGACTGGAAATATGTGAAGCGTCGTTTTTTTATCTATGTATTTCGTCGCATAAATGTCAACCTTCGCTGCTCTTTTTATTCAATTTCGAGTTTTTTTTCTGTCTTTTTTTTTCGACGACATTTCTTTTTTTTTGGCGCAACAGGTGAAAGAGGGAATTCGGAAAAAATTCAATCTCGAACTTATCTAAAAATAGGGAATTTTTCAGCGAGTCATTAAAATTCCTGATAATTGGCTTGCACAGAATCATCGCACTTCGACTCCGCCCCTTTGCAAGTGGGCGGAGCCTATTTGAGGCGAATGCTTCCATCTGTTTTTGATTAAGTGGCCTTCTTAGTGCCATCGTAAATGTTTAGTAGTTTGACCTTGTCTCGAGCACACTATTTCGATTCGGTCATCAGAGCAAGAATATTGCAGTCGCAGAATCGCATTAGCTAATAATTCATGAAGTTGGAAATCAGAACACACTGGCGATCTTCGAAATGACAAAAGAAGTAAATGAGTTGGTTAGATTAAGCTGAATTGTTGAGCCATGTGTGCAGAATTGCACGCAATTAAGATAGGTGTTCGGAACTGATGAGGAATATAAGCATATCATTTCTATTGGACATCAGCAATTCGAACAGCGATTCCACTGTCGGAAGGGGGCTTTCGATATTGTCGATGGAAACCAATTTGGGTTGATAGAAGGGTCTCGATGTATGAAATAGATCGTCACATTCAGTAAATTAATTTTAATGCTCAATTAATTATTTTATTGAATCTCGAAATGAAATCTCCCACGTGGTGTGACGTTTTGAAAAGATACCACTGATTCATTGCGTAATGCCATAATTGGAATAATTTTCCGAAAAAAAAGCACCCGGTGATTGTTTCACTAATGAGTAATAAGAAGAAGCCTATGTGCTCCTCGTCATCATACTAATCTATCTCACATGTTGAATACGTAAAAATACTGAAAACGGAAATTGCGGCGGCTCATCGACGACCTATTTTTATACATACACATGCTGATAGAGATGATTCTGGTTTTCGCTAAAAATAAAAAGATAAAACGACGCTTTAGATACTAAAATCGAGGCGGCAAAATAAAAATAGGGGAATTGGTTGTGTTCGGCGATGAAATGAAAAAGAAAGAATAAAATAAGAAGCTAATTCAATTCGTGAAATGCGATTTTAGCTCATCCGCACTGTCTTTTTAAACAAAAATAAATTCCCATTTTTTTTTCGTTGAGGTCTGACTGAATTGAACACCACACGCGACCGACGGCGGCAAATATGTGCGTCAACAACAATTAACTGAAATTCAAGAATGCAGCTGAAAATGGTTGGTGGTGTGCACTAAAATAGAAAGGAGAAGAAGCAAAATTGCGAGTCTATATTTTGCTGTGGCCCGCGAATGGATGGCCGGCAACCGAAAAAAAAATGACGTGCCGATGACATTGTTTTTCATACATATTTTTTCGTGAAACAATAATTGTGAGATTTGAACATCGAAAATAGCTTACGCGTTTTATTTTAAGCCCTTCGCTCATCCGAAATTATTTGTTTATGCTAAAAATAGAAATGATGTAGATGGAATGTCCGCAGCTTGCTTTTATTAGCTTGCCTATTGAATTTTGTTCTTTTTTTGGCGTGAGATTTGCATTCGAAGAACATATTGTCGAAAATAAATGCTCGGCCGATTATCAACATAAAAAATTTTTAGCTCATTCGGTTTCTTGTTTTGAATGAATTTTATTTTTAGAATTGAAAAATATTTGAACAATTCCTCTGAAACATAACTCTAATCGAATACAATTTGAAAGTAGTTGGGTCTCGCAGCGATCGAAATTTTTGGTTGTTTTTTTTCAATTGCAAGAAGAAGAAGAGCAACTGCGACAAATTGGATGCGAGGTGAAGAGTTCCGTCTGTGTACTCCACACGGACAACGAAAAGTTTTTTAAAATCGCCGAGCGCGTAAATCGACACGATACAATAGAGCGCGACTTCGATAATTTTTCGAGATGGAAAAATGTTGCGATTTCAAGTCATAATAAACGAATTATGAGACTTGTAGACGCGCGAAATAAAAAAAAAAAAACTCATATACTCAAATATCGATGAGTCAGAACATCATTGACCATTTTTCGAATTCTGTCTTTCATACAGGAAACGACTGCAATAGTATCCAATTTCTTTTTTTTTCTCCCTTTTGGCTCGAAGAAAAATCGTTCAAAAGCACGAATTTTAGTTGTGTGACATTCATTAAAACGATGATATTTTTGGCGAAGAACTGAAAATTCTCATTCCGTGAATCGCCTCTATTCTTTTTTTGGGAATTCCGATTGCGAACGAGCAGGAATTTGCAAGAAGCGATTGAAAATTGGACGTATTGTGAGAATTTGGCGCAATTGCCAAAAAAACAAAACAAAAATGAACACCAGGAAAAATTAATCAGATTTTGTTTGGTGTTGTTGAGAAGCCGCTTGCGACTTACCCAATGAATGTCCATTCGGGCTGTATTTGGTCATCGGCGAGCTCGGCGCACTTCGAGCGGAATCCGGACTCAATGAGCGTGAGATGCGCGGAACCGAGAGTGAGATCATTTCTGCAAGAAAAAAAAACATGAATTGAAAAGTGAGATGTCACATTGCGTCTGTTTCCGAGAAAAAACGGCTACAAGGATCAGTCGTCACATGCACCAAATAATTATCCTCATTATGATTCCCTTATTAATTTTCTTATCTTTTTAATGCAATTAAATTTTAGTGTTTATGTTTTGCAAAACATTGCGTATACTGTAGTTAAAGGTGCAAGCAGACATTGGAATTGGGTCTCGCCACGCTGCTAATTTTCTTTATCATAAAACGATAGGATAAATCGCTTGAATTCCATGAAAGCTTTGTTAGCAATAATTTTGAATTCAACAAAAGACTAGCTTGTATGTAGGCGTTGGCATGGATAAACAACGAGGGAAGTGCTTATTAATCAATAGAATCGTTGACGAGGCCCCTCCATTTATTTATGGAGTGCAAGTAATCTGTCATCTTGAAATGCTTCTGCGCGAATATGAAAATAACGCCCTCAATCAGCGCATTTTCTTTCACTCGTTTGGAAAAAAAGGGGCTTACAAGTGAGTGGGGGTGGCGGATTGGATATTTACCAAAAAAGGTGAGACTAGGATTAGAGAGGCTGTCTAGTCAGTCGATTCTAGGCTAGTTCAAGTAGTCTCGTGTGGATAAGAATAACGAGCTGGTATCAATTTGCAAGTCAGACTCAAACAAAAGCGGATCGTTCTTAGTTTGTTTCAGCTGCACAAATTCAAGTTCGCACTTGCAGATGGTTTGTGTTATCAGAAACAATTCCTACTATTTTTTTTTTCATAACGTCAATAGTGAAGAAGCAGGTGTTAAATTTGAGCTCACGGAATTGTAAGCAGATGACTAAAAATAACACGAGATAGCAATGATCCTGTCAAAACGTTGGCGATCATCTCAAAAATTAAATAAATCATTTTTGGGAAAAATTTGCGGCCAAATTTCGGACGAATAGGTATTTATTGTTGGCGTCAAACGAC